TGTATGTCTGTCTGTATGTATGTATGGATTGGTTTGAGGCACTCGGTTTTCGATGCGAAGAGTCCGGATTCCGCTCGCCCGAGTGACCCCCTTTTTCAGTCTCACACGAATTCATTGTTTCTGTTGTGCATAGGCGCGCGTCTGTACAAGACTCTACCGCACGCAAATGGAAATGTATGTAAGTATGTATGTATGTATGTATGTATGTATGTATGTATGTATGTATGTATGTATCTGCATATGCAGGTAAATACACACCATGTATGCAATGGTCCTTCTCTTGGTCCTTCGGTTTTGTGCAGCAGCTTCTGAACGGCGGAGACCTCCTCCACGGGATTCTTTCGGACAGTCTACATTTTGGAGTCCCCCAGTTCTAAATTCGGAAGTGCCGCCCCTTGTAGTCCCTGCCTGAAGCTAGGCTGTAATGTGCCCCAATACTTAGGGCACCTGTATCAGCATGAGTACTACCACCATGACTGGCACTACCGTGGAGTGCTATGCTGGCAGTGTTTCAGGCGTGTTAGGTGGTGCCATCCGGGCTTCGGGCCGCAAGTCATCTTTTTTAAAAACAAAGTATGCCCAAATCTCGGGATCCTCTATAAAGGACCTAGAGTTGCCTGAATAAGAGACACAGCACCCATCCGAAGACAGACGTCGACCTGCAGGACATAGAAATGCTCGGAGAATGGTGTGGGCCTCGATTCCTGCAGAACCCACTTCACGAAGTGGCCCCACACAGTACCCTCTGTGTGGATCCGCATCCCACCTCACCCCTTACTCCGTGCTCAAGTTTTGGAGGGCTTTGTTCCGTTGTTCTCCGGGGAGTAGGGGCTTAATGTTGAGGGTCTGCACAGTTAGTAATATTATTCCCTGGAGTTTCCAGATGTACAGCTCGGCAGCCCCCCACACAATTTGATGCCCGGAGCCCTAAACGCAAGTCGAGCTTGGCAAGATTAGAGAGCACCACCCCCCTGAGTCAAGGAATGTGCTGTAGATCACTTTAGCAATTCAGATCAGATGATCTATCTATGCAGTCTTGTCTACATTGCTTGATCATGATTGAAATTGCTTTCAACTGCCACAAAAGAGTTGAAAGCCCAAAGCCCAAACCTGCACAGCCCGAACCGAGACAGTAAATGCTGATGCCTATGGACAAGCCCAAGCATGCTCGTTAAACCCTGAGACCGAAAACCCAGCTTCGTCAGATCCGCCCTTTAGCCTCGAAGCATCATGAGGTGCCCTAGAACTTTAAGCCCTCAACCTTAGATCCTAACCGCCACTTCGAGGCCCAGCTTAGTGCAGGGTCTCTTATCTCCAAAAGGAGTTTCAAATCGGGCTTCTGAGAGCGTGGAGGTGCAGATGTTGGGGTTGCTTCGGTGCTTCTGTTCTTGGTGGGTTCGGTGGCTCAGCATGCAGGATTGAAGATCCTCGAGTTTGTGATGCAAGGGTTCTGGGTTAGGCCCAGGTTGGCTTGCCTTGCGCGGACTGATGGACGAAGCTCGGAACGTTGCTGCTTTCCGGGTGTCAAGCCGCCGGAGAATCGTCAAGAGAACGGATGAGACCCCAATGGAGCTCGTTGGCCCAGGGCTATCCAGGCCTGGATACGAATCATATAATAGTTCGTAATAATATGTAAATAAAAGAGAATAATTAGTGTATTATGCTACGAATTACAGCAGTATGCATGATACGAACTGTACATGTTCGACTATCCTTTTCCTCCCTGCGCTGTTCCCGCTACTTTATGCCCCGCTTCTATCAAAGCCCAAATCCTAGACCCGAAACCCTGAACCCTAAACCCTAAGCCCCCTGAACCCTAAACCCTAAACCCTGAGCCACCTGAACCCTAAACCCTAAGCCCCCTGAACCCTAAACCCTAAACCCTGAGCCACCTGAACCTTGCATCCTACTCCCTGCGCCGAGGTGTACCAAGCACGAGCCAAAGCTTCTGGATGTGCTCGCCCAAGCCCGTGAAAAGAGTTTCCGCTTTCTTGAAACCCACAATATGTACATAAATAAATAAATAAATAAATAAATATATATATATATATACATACATACATACATACATACATACATACATACATACACAGTTATATATCTATATATATATATATATATGTTGTTATGCTGTATTTTACTGTATTCCACTATACCATAGTATATTCCAGTACACTACACCATATTCTACTAAATTGTACTGAACAAAGTATTAAATCATACTGCATTATATCATATTATACGGCTATGGTAATTACTTGTACAATAGCTTCGAAGGCAGAGAAACCGACATGGCTTGAATGGTTCAGGGCTTGGGGTTGGGAGGTTCAGGGTTTGGCACGAAAATGGTGGGGTGCATCGAACAAAGGTATCATTATGATGGCACAAGAGGGTGACTGTGGGGATCCACTTCCTCTTTCTTTTACCATGCACCATGGAGGTAGCAACCGTAGGGGCTCCCTTGTAGCACACTTATTGGTCTCATGTGGAACGCTTGTTGGCGTGAGGCGTGCAAGGTCGGTTGTGCTAGTCACGCTTGTTTACAGTATCCTTCAGCGATAGAGCCTTGAATGCACAGCCTGCTTCCCAGAGACCCGGAAGGGCAATTGAAAAAGAAAGACAAGCACAAGAATGGACACCCTGTCTGAAGAGGTGACCAACAGCAGAGACCCTTGTCCTAAATACCTAAACCGAAGACCTTTGTCCGCAAAGCCCTAAAGTCCAAGGCCACAACTCCAAACCCTAAAACCCTGAAGCCTCAAAGCCCTAGAGACGGTGAAGCTGCTGGAGACAGCCAGGTGATGCCACCTCCCAAGGAGATCGGCGCTCTTCCGGAGGTTCTCTCCGGTTCTTGTGCTTTCGGGGCGTCCTGTCAATACCAAAGTTGCATCATTATTCAGCGGTTTAGGGTTTAGGGTTTAGGGGTCCCCTCTCCTTCTTCTCATCATCAGCAGCATCATCACCGGCAGCACCAGGATTAAGCTGACGGCGTCGCGGTCACCATGCAGATAGTAACATAGAGGAGCGAGGACTTGTCATTCATCCCATACGCGAGCAAGTTCGTAGGAATGGGAAGGGCAACTACCCAGCAGGACCATAACCAGCAGTTTCAATAACACAAGCTTCTCGTACAAATGCGAAGACAGCCACATTGATCCGAAAACTTACGGTACTGTGCATGGTTGTGAACTGCACCTGTCCCAGTAGTGTTGGACATTTCTTACATGTTTCAAGTCAGGGTTTGCTGGGGTTAGACCTTGACAATGGGCCAACAAGGTATCGCAAGAGCATCGACTCCACATTCGAGTGCACGTCTGTGAACTGAATGTCTACACCTTCAGCGGACACCAATGCCAGAACAACCCCCTAAACCCTAAACCCTCGGCATCACCCCTTGCCCTGCGGCCCCCATGGCTATTTCGTACCTCGACACGACCTAAGCCTCCCAACCCCTAGACTCGACTAAATCTCCTAAGCCCTAAAATCCGAACCTCTAAGCCCCTGGACGCTTTGACCTCTCCACACCCCTAAAGCCCTAAGGATGGCTGGACCATTCTACAACTTTTTTTTTATCGAGACCTTTAAACATGCCAAGACCTGAACAGCCAGCATAACACGCGTCTAAAGCTCTTTTGTGCCCCGATAACAACTTATAGCAACGATGACGAAATCCTTAAAACGCGCAAAGGTGGAAGGACCATCAGACCGTCAAAAGCAGCTCCTGGAATACCTACCGCTACTGGACCTTTCGCAACTGAAAGGCCCGGTGACTTCGGTTTTGGGTTTCGGGTGGGTTTTGAAGGGTTTGGCGTTGTTCGGTTTCTTGGGTGCTCGATTACGCCGTCGTAGGGTTTTTGCGATTGTTTAGCTCTTTTGTCAAAGCTTTGCCAGTTGTGGTTAGACGATGCTTTGTCGGTTTGTAAAGTCCGCTTCAGGGCTTGGGGTGCCAATCCGTCTCGTGTAAATAAAACCCCTGTGGAGCCCGAATACAAGCCTGTAAAAATCGACGAGCTTTTTTGATTCTTGGCAGCCTAGGAGCCAGACGCGCCAATGATGGACAGGTCCATGCAACACTACCGCAACTGGAAGGATGACCTTTATTGGACAGGGAAGTCATCAACTAGGTTACGTAAGTACGCCCTAAACCCCTTCGAAACTACATGAATTCGCAAGAAGGCTAAGCAACCCGATCCCGCCCCATCTCCTGGAAGGTCCGTCAGCACAGTCACTGGGAGCCACCCTGTCTGCCGCGAGCTTGGCCTTTCTGCCAGACAGACAGATGTCTCTCCCTCTCCCGCTCGCTCTGTCTGATCTGGAGCCTTGGCGCCATAGTAGTTCCTTTTTGGGATTACCTTATAGGATTCTAAATATGAACCCCAAAAAGGAACCACTATGGGGCCTATGGGTAGGCAGATGGCTGACTGTGATAGGTCTGTGAGAGGAAGCCAGAACTCTGTTGAGATTCTCTTCGGTCAGGCCATGCAGCAGACAAAGACGGATGCACACCTGCTCTTCAAGGCACAGTCTGCGCACAGGGGTTGAGGGCTTTAGGGTTTGGGGGCCTTATAGCGTTTAGGGCTTTAGGGGTTTTGGGGTTTTGGGGTTTTAGTAGTTCAGGTGTGTCTGCGGTGAAGTATCAGCAACAGGGCAATTCTCAGGCTCATCTATGTAATATTGTTGGGTAATTGCCTGGGAATGGTTCCAGCAGTGGCAGGCCCTACATTCTCAATCCCCAATTTCGCGACCAGTGCTGTAATCATGGGTTTCTTGCTTTTCTGTTCCTCTGCTGACGGTTCTTTCCCAGTCTTACTGTTCACTCCCCGGCTAGGAGCCCTTATTGCGGCCTTCTGGGAGATCTTCATGTATTGAATCTATAATAATTCGCAGTCGTTTTAGGCTTCCTCATTTCTAAAATTCGTTCGGACTCGGGCCTACAGTTGGGATTGTACCGAACTCGTGTCCGTTTGTCTTCTGGCAGAAAATCTTACGTAGTCCGGTCATAGATCTCAAAACGCTACTATGATTTGTTAAGGCGAGCATAATAAGAATAAAACAGCTCCAAAAATCACCATTCCAGCTCTGAAGACCCCTATTTATTACTTCTGACTTGGAGGCCAGAATAGATTTTCGAGGCGAGTTTCGAAGCGCTTCTTTAAAAAAGGGTTGAGGGTATTGGGTTTGGGATTTGGGACTTCTTTCTTCTTGCTGTGGCGACCTATGCTGAGCATCAGACAGGGATGAGCAAATTTGGCCAGGCAGAAGACCTACCTCGACCACTGACGCAGCCCGATATGGCGGAGGTCGATGTCCGGGCCACAGTCGCAAGGTTCTGCAGCTTCTTAAAGCTTTTTTTCAAGTCTTGTCACGACCACCTACCCGGTACCCGAAACCCTAAATCCTAAACCCCAAAGACCCCGAAGCCCGAATCACCCTAATCCCCTGGACAGAAAAAGCCCTGAACCATGGTACTGCTCCTTTTGGCGCCTTGTGGAGGTGCAGAGCAGTTTACTGCGACGAGGGACCGTTAAACGTAGATTCAAAGTCTGGGTGTGGGATGGATAGGGTGTAATTAGGGTTTTTAGGTTCAGGGTTTGTGGGATGGAGTGGTGTTGGGGCTTGGGTTTGGGGTCAGGGCTTATGGGGTACGGGGGTGAAGGTGGTTCGGGTCCTTGCATGTGCCCTCGTTGCTGAGATCGTGCCGTATCCCCTGACGGAGCAGGACAGCTGTTTTTGTTCATGCCTGGAGCGTTTAGACCGTACACACAATGTCGCGTGACTGGGTGTTCTGGATATGAATAATATACTTGCAGTGAGAACACGTGAAGATATCGCCCCTCCCCCCCACTCGAACCAAACAACAAAAACATCAAACCCGTCACAGCTGAAACAACCCGTGACACTGGCATGTGCACCTTGTTCGACAGGTTCGCGGTCGGGCCCCATGCACCTGTGCAGCCGTGCTTGTATCCAAAACTGCTTTGAATTGAGAAAACATCTCTCAATTACACAGCCCGCATATGTGTTTAGGGCAGAGTCAGTTGTGCCGGAGATGTCATGTTCCCGTAATTGCTGGTTTACTTGGTAAGCACTGTGTAAGTGTCGAGCTTATGCAGTTAGTTCTCATGCACAGTTCAGACAATGTCGAGATAAATGTTCATATTTCGGCGATGATGGTATTGTATTGATGTGAATGCTGTTGTGAGCAATGCCGTTTTGGAGGCGCTGTGCGATTCTCATGGCAAGTTGTATGTGAAAAATCCTTCACCACATTTGTGGCAGGCCGAGATTACACACCAAGTGAAGTGATAAACACTGCAGGACATTCCGGGCTACCAGGAGATGCAGGCGGCGATTCCGACGCGACAGCCAGTCAGTGCGCGGCACTTGTCCATCCGTTTACTTTTGAAGCTTTTGATGTCTTCTTGCTTCGATCACGAGCAGGAGGGCTTTGTTGCGAAGTCACTTAAGCAGAGCTTTCGCGTGGCGACTACTTGCATGAGGGCGGTGCAGCAGCAGCAGCAGCAGCAGCAGCAGCAGCAGCAGCAGCAGCAGCAGCAGCAGCAGCCGCTTTGCAGGTCCCAGCGGGAAGAGGAGGAGAAAGTAGTCAGCAGTGTTCGAGTCGTAGTCGTCGAGATGGGAGTTTCAGGAGATTATCAGATAGGGGCCGTTGGCATAAAAGGTCTATCAGGTAGCATCCTTTTTGAGAACTACCCAAAAAAGGGTGACCCTGATTTTCTGCAGCTCCAGAGTAGCACCACCGCAACAACGACATCTTCAGGTCGCCTGAAGGAGCAGCCATCCCTAACGAAACAGACACCACAAGAGTAAACGGTGACCTGCTGTTCTAGGGGTTTAGAGGCTAGAGCTAAGTAATAGGTGTGCCCTGACTGTTGATTACCGAAATCAATAGAGCAGTCATGATGGTCCGGTGGAAAGTGCTAACCGCAACTACCGCGAGCAGTCGCACTGGTTGGCCAGTTCACTGACACTATTGTAGCATCGGCGGCAACCACAAGAGCTACAGTGCTACAGCTACAGCAACAGGCATGCCGAGCGAATCACACCCGACACCCCTACAGAACCAAGTCTCAGAATCATCAAGGGAACATGTGGGGGTTTCCGAAAATAGGGGACCCTAATATAGTACCCTAAATAATAGGATCCTTATTATAAGGACCGCAAAATAATGTACCCCTTACTTTCGGAAACTCCCATGTCCGAGGCCCTACGCGATCCCTTCCAGCGGCCTTTCCTGTACCTGCCGGAGTTTCACGAAACGGTGCCCCCGGGTTTCATTCTTCGTCTAAGGCTTTTTTGGCGGAGTTGTAGGTTCCGAACCGAAAGTCCTATATAATTGAAAAGCACTTAGTAGCTGTAGGGTTTAGTGTCAGGGGGTTCAGGCTTTGCGTATTGGGGGTTTGGGGTCTCGGGTTTGTGACATAAGATTTAGCAGCTGAGCAGGCCGCCTTTTGGCCTTTTTGGGTTCATGCCAACCTTGCCGTGGTTGACAGCATAAGCAAACACGAAGTTTACGACTGCAGTTGGGCCTTCGCTCTTAAGTTGGAGAACAGTACTGCCCTTGACACGCACCTTGCTGGAGTAACTCTTGACGGACACAATTTGTCTGATCTCCTCGAATGTGCGTGCGATTGGGCAAGGCCTCGTGGAACATCTTGGTCGTCCCAAGCCTTTGCTGTCGATACAAACTTAACGGGGCTTGCTCGCAGCCCAGCCTGTGCACCAACAGGTTCGCACAAGGCGATTCATACTCGCTTCAAATAGCCCTTGCGGTCATGTGCGCATGGACCTCGTTGATTGAAGAGAGCAAGCCGCCTGACATCGACCTTTCCTTGGGTAGCTTTATTGACGACAGTCATTTTTAGGTCGCAACCCAAAATCCTGGACCCCGGAACCCCCAACAGAATCCGAGTTTCTGAGCTCCTACGCTACTTAGAATCTCAACCCACACAAGCAAGTAAAATAAGTGCCCACATTGCGGAGATAAGTCTCACTGCAGGGCTGAAGGGTTTCAGGGGCTAGGGCTTCACGCTCCAAGGCTAGGGTTTAGTGCTTAAGGGCTTGAGGGCTTGAGTCTTTAGGGCCTTAGGGTTTCAGCCTTTTCAGGGCCTGAGGTTAGCCCCGCCCAAACAAGGCTCTACACGTCCTCAGGGTGGATGCATCTTGGGGTATTTTTAAAATTACAGGGACGAGCTTTGTGATTTTATAGTTTGAATGCTATTGTGAAGACCGCCTGTTCCTGAAACTTAACTGTTTGGGGAGATTCCTACAAATCAGGGGTCGACCAGGGTCCCATAACCTAAGGTTCCATAGTTCGGGGCCCCCATTTTCTGAACCTTCTCTGTATTTAAGGTGATCGATTGGGAGTGCGGCCTTTAGAGTCTCGAATAATACCTCATAGACCGGAATCGCAGGCCATCAGCCCAGATGGACAGATGCAGATGCTTTTCTGTGCGCAAGAGGGGGGAAATACTGCTTCACGCTTGACACGGAAGAGCTGCGAAACTGGAAAGGCAATGCCGAGGTCGCAGGATGTTTTGGGTCTGTAGGGCTTTGTTGTTAAGCTTCAGCGTTTGGGGATGCCATGTATTCATGCGCTCTGAGCCGCGATCCTTAAACCTTCAATCCCACAGAACCCCGATCAAAAACCTCCACAACACGTGAACGAATCATTCCATATACCATTTTGGGGTGGTTCCTTATTATGATTGTAGTATAACATATACCCCAAAACCCTATTCTAATTTTTCTTCTTCTTATCATTATTATATTATTATTATGATCATTATTGTTATCATAATAATAATTATTATTAAGGCCCTACATGAAGGTCCGTGTGAGGCCCTGAGCCCGGAAGCCTCGCTTGCCAGTTGATGCCGGTCTTCGAGAGCTCTTCCAACTATGGGTCGTGGCCTTGGCAAGCGGTGGAAGTTTAGGGTTTAACGGTTTAGGGTTTAGGGTTTAGGGAGTTTCCTAGGGTTTAGGGTTTAGGGAGTTTAAGGTTTAGGGTTTAAGGTGGTGGATTAGTGTTCTTTAGAGCCTGAACAAAGCTTCCAGGACCCATAGGCCAGCAACCAGCTCGGGCGATAGGGCTTCACGCTAGAAGGAGTGCTGGTGTTGAAGGTTTGTGGCTTTAGGGATCCAGGGTTGGGGTTTAGGGATTGGATTTTAGGGTCCGGGTGGAGCATGTGCAAAACTAAGACTAGCAAACAAGCGAGTTCTGGAGAGCCTCACATACCGAAGCCGCAAGCACAATCTTTCAGGTATGCAGACTACTGCGGACTCCCTGAGCCGATAAACCTGGAGACCCGAAACCCTCCAAAGCCGCGCCCCCCACTTCCAATGGTACTACAGTATAATTATGGTCTTATCGTGCTAGAAACTCTGAACCCCTTAGACTGTAAACCCCAAAAAACCGTAAGTAAATTCCCCATATCCCAAGTCCGAAACCTTGCGACCGCTTTCGTTTTATGATTTTTGATTTGAGTGCTTTGTCAGTAGAACTTTTCAAGCATTTCCTGGTATTTTAGGGTTAGGAAGCAGGGGCATGAGAGTTTCCGCCGTCAGGCGATATAGTCCCGCTTTTCTGATTGTCGACACACAAGGGAGCACCAGAAATGCCCGTAATGATCTCTTGGTTTGTAGGAGTAGAGTGAGCGTCGCAGAAGTTTCGGGTTTCGTTCGAGAAAGAGTCGTCGTCGTCTTCAGGGGGTTCAGTAGTAGGGACGGCGGCCACTCTGCAAGCTGATGGCCGTTGATGCTGATTCTGCTCGTGCGTTCGTGGCAGCGTTCAGGCTATCCTAGTGATATCATATCTTGGTGGAACCATGCCTGGCAGTAGCACGATGGCAGTAGCACGACTTAGGACAGCAGTAGGACAAGCTTAGAACACCTACCCCTTCCAGAATTCTATAGACTCCCGAAACAACTTCTACAAAATCCTCATAGTCATACTCCTAAGCCCCTGCGGCTTAGGGTAGATAGGGTTTAGGGATCCCTTGTTAGACCCTTAAACTGCGTTAACCCCTGAAGCTCCGGAATAGTCAGGCCTCAGATCTGCAAAGCCGAACACCTAGCCTTCACGCCAAATTTAGGGGCCTAAATAATTACCAATACTATTTTGGGGGGTTCCTGCTTATAATTAATATATACTGGGCCCCCAAAAACCTTATTCTGATTATTAAGGCCCCTATATAAAGACCTAAGCTCCCAGCCCGGAGCCCTAAGCCCTCCAATCGGAAGCCCTGAACCACACGGAGAGTCCTTATCCCTCAACTTCCACCTGCGAACTCAGGACCGTAAGCCCTAAACCCTAAATACCCTAAACCCTAAATACCCTAAACCCTAAATACCCTAAACCCTAAAGTCAGGCAGTGCAGGATCGCCGATGCCGTGCCAGCTGAAGAGATGTGGCCACTTCCTCAGGGCGGGCGGCGGATCAATGTTTAAGGTGCTTGAGGTTGTCGGTTTACTATCATACGATTTAGACTTTAAGGTTCATTTCGGGGTGAGTTTCACGGTGTACTTTGGGATTTGGTATGGGGTTTGGGGTTTCATTCGGGTTTTGGGCTTAAGCCTCAGGCACTCCTGCACCTTAATTAGTGCTGGTTGTTCAGGGGTTGTGGAGCTTGTTCGAGGCGATGGCCACCATTCAGACGACGGTGGTTTATGACGGCGACGTTGTTGCTGGCGATGTCGACGATGATGCAGATGAGAGTCACTGGTTCTACTCTTTTGAGAAAGCAACCTCAAAGCTGTGCGATTCTGCTGTGGCCTTGACCCTGAAAGACACAACTTCCGGGGTCTTGAAGACACACAGGCTTTGCAGCGTTCCCAAACGCCGAAGCCCAAATAAAAGGCTCTGGAAACCTCCAGCCTTTCCTCCGCAGCAGAAGAAGTGTAAATCAATCGGGCCCCAGCCGTTCATGCCTGAACGTCGAGAGGCTGAATCCTCAACCTTCGATCCTATACTGAACCGAAGCACAAAGTCCGAAGTCCTAAGCCCGAAACCGCACTGAGGCTCAGTACCACGATGAGCATCTTCCAGGATAACAATGACCCAGAGAAGGCGTCGATAGCAAAGGGGGGTTTTAGACTTAGGATAGAAACAAAGTTTCGCGCTCATGCCGCAACACGGCACGGGCATTGAAGTTCGGACGTTCGGACCCGACTCATGCACGTGAATTCCGAGCAATGCTGGAATCAATGGCCTTGCCACCAGCCACCGGATTTTGAGCTTTTCGGATTTCGGATTCATTGAAGGCGAAGGGGCGTTGGGGACTCGGGGAAGTATCGGCTTCAAGCGCTCAGGGTTCAAGTTGAAGTCTAATTGCAGACATGTTTGAGTTGAAGCGAGAAAAATCTTCTTTCATCATCCAGAGCCGCGATTCCTCGGTTTCTCCAAACCCTTCAACCTCAGAACTCCAAGCCTGTCCAAAGCCCCTAAAGCCCTCGAGGGACGATACCAAGCCCGAATACGAAATCATACTCTTTTGGTCGACATATACCTGAGCTGAACCCTGCGGACCGTATTCTCTCAATCCATCTCCGTATCGGTCCTCGATGCCCATCGCTGGAAAGCCAGGTCCGCGGCTGGGGTTACGTCCTCGACCCAGAAATCACTCGATTTGGTTTGGGTCTAGGGTGTCTGTGTGTGTATATATATGTATATGTATATGTATATGTATATGTATATGTATATGTATATGTATACGTATATGTATATGTATATGTACATG